ATAGTACCATGTAAATTATTTAAAACTGAATATAAATTTTATAAGTAAGATAAATTGTGGTGCCCTGCAGGGTTACATGTCTGGACCCTATATTAATTTAAGAAGTTTTATACATTACCTATGTGATGCAAATATAACAAAGACAATAAAATGTTTATGTTTTCAACGTCAAAATGCATCATATACATATAACATCTGATTTATATATATCAATATAACATGTCCTTTCGTTTCCGATAGCTAAGCACAAAACGGATTCTTAAATTCAAAACAGACTGACAGTTATTATGTACCTACCTAGCGTAATTTTTAAAAATAATGTTGCCATATTTATTGTATACTGATGTGTTTGTTTTAGTTATTAATAAACTAACTGAAACAGAATCAAAAGAAATGTCAAAGATTTTTTTACTATTTATCTGTAATTTTTAATTTTTTTTTACATAAGTTTTTGATTTTTCAAAAGAATTATACATTGATTTGAAATATGGTATAATATTATGAAAACAATAAACATAAATATTTCATGACCTCTGTGGCCCAATGGTTTGCTATTTGATGAAATTAGAAAACCGGGGTCGATTCCCAATCGGAACAATTTAGGAAACGAACTTCTCTGAATTGATTCGAGTTTCGGTGTTCTAAGTGCCCCGAAATAAATTCCATTGCTCTGGTACTCATAGTACATGGAATTTCTCAAATTAAGACCACGTAATTGGTGTGATTATCTGGCACCTTATTACAGTCATTCTCGGACTAGTGTTCACTACCTAATAATTAGTAGCAGTAGAGCTCCTTGTCAAATAGTTCGTCCAGGGTAGTACTGCCACCTTACCTATTTCTGCCGCCAATCAGTAATGTCAGCATTACTGTGTTCCAGTATTGGAGGGTAAGGGTGCTGGTGAAATTACAGGCACATGAGACTTGTCAACTTATGTCTCAGAGTGACGGGCGCAGTGGCAGTGCCCTTCAAATTTTTGTGATTTTTAAGTTCTGAGTGGGAATGCAACTGTTATGGACAGGAGTGTAGTTTAGCATAAGGCGCTTGTCCGTCCTGTCACTTGATATTATAAAAAAGCCTAATTTCCGTGGCAATTTTTTATTATTTATGTATTTGTTTTTTTTATCGTACAATATTATTTAAAATTCGACTATTGTCTCGTGAAATATCATTTAGTTTTTATTTCTATTTTTATTGTGACTCGGCAAAATGACTGCACCGCGCCTGATGGAAAGTGCGAATACAGTCCAGAGATGAGAGTAACGGATGGAAAACACAAATATCTTCACTCCATCACTATCATATTGCCGGTCTGGCCAAATGCTTCTTCACACTACGTTTGAAGGACCCGATGTTATAGAGGGGAGGGAATACATGCGCCGGGAGTTGGTTCCACAATTTGATGGTTCGGCATAAAAACGAATTGCCAAACTTTTTAGTGCGGGACGGTATTAAACTGACCGTCCAACTGTGGCAACGCAGTCCGGCACGGGTGGTCCGCTGATGGAAAGGAGAGGAAGGGATAAGGTTGAATAACTCTTCAGAGCACTCAGTGAACACTAGTCTGAGAACCACCGATTTATTTTCTAGCTTTTCTTTTTTCTCTCAACCTGTTGGAGGGCTTTAACCAAACTTCCATTAAACTACAGTTTATTATCTATAATTAAGAATCCAACTATAGTTTATCAAACTTTTAACATACCGACGTAGATCATATATAATTCACAAATAATTTATTGGAATTAATGTGTCTCAGACAGTTCACTTTGATTAAAATTAGATTAGATTGTTAAGACAGCTTACAAGTGCATTAATGTATCAAATCTATCACAGCTATTTGATATAGCTTGTTAATTAATTAAATCCTTTGTTGCGAGTAGTCTATATAGCGTGTTTTGCTGTTGAATATTTATCAAATTTACGATTTAGTACGATACGTTATAAAATTTTAGATTTATATCCTAGGGCGAATCTGTGGTGCATTAATAATGCCACGCTATGCTACAGTCAATTTCTTTAGACCGCAGTTAGCCATCTGTTGCAATTAAAAGCTTTATCCAAATGCCAGCACACGGACTGATCCGCGTTCCACTATTCATTTCATACACTTCTTTCACACCTAAACATCATTCAGCAGGGTTCATTTTTCTCTGAACTTTGATACTAAAAAACTTTGTTGATATGTTTACTCGTGCTGTCTATATGAGCGTTATTGGTTTGATATTAAGGTCGATTATAAGATAATGAGGTGCGAAAGAAGTTGTTGACGGCAGCCGGGTTGGGCTAAAAGCGTTCACGTTGGCACGGCAGTGGGGCAAGGACGCTTAGCGCCTATGCACCGCCAGATTGATAGACCGATTAATCTTCGCTAAGAGGAACACAGCGTAGATTGACAATTTAGATGATATTTTTGCTAGATGTTCAGATGTAAGAGTAGGCTAATGAGCTCTTGTCAAAGAAAGAAAAATGGCAACACTGTTTTATGATGTGGTCGGATTCCCGAGACTGACAAGTTAAGAACTTTCTATTTATGTTGTTGAATCGTAAACGTATGTTGTGTTAGTGTCGTAAATATTTTAACAACACCGTTTATATCGCTAATATTTGCAAATAATTCGAAGTTTACGCGACCAATTCACGTGACCGATGGTTTTAATTGATCAATGTAGAGTCGACGAAAGAATTTCGCAAAGGTAGGTTTGAATGTGCTTTCAACTATGCAAGATTACATGTCACCTTGCTTTATTTTTGTTTTTTGTTTACCTCAAGAAGCTCAAAACATGTGGTATTCGATTCGATATTTGGAACAGAATGTAGTTTTACTTTTCCGTTTGTAAGCATTTTGTTTGTTGTTCAATTGTGTATTAACGTTTATAGTATGTTGGTTCAACATTTTCGCAAGAATGTGTCGTTTTCTAGTTTTCAATGTCACTGGTCACATTGTAAACAGTGTAAACTTATTGTGTCACAATGTGGGTCACTTGATGTGGCACTGTGTCACAGGGGGTTAGTCCACACTGGAGGGGAGAGGTTCACACTTGCGAAATGTTCGTGTTACGAAACCGTTCGATTGTCGATGCTCGGATTCAGATATTTCGGGCTGCGCGTGCGACGGCCGCCGGCACCCTGCTCACACTGCTCTACGCCGCTACACTTCTATGAAGCTTTAAATTCTTAGCCGCGGTGTTCTGTATAGATTAGCTTCGATCTAGCGCTGTCTTTTATCCTATATATATTAACATCTCAAACAACCAGTCAATACCTTGCCTCCAAAATAATCGTAATGGTTTTTTTTACAACTATGAATAATATTTACTCGTGGTGTCACAACTGCCAAGAATGCAGACGCGTAAGTTCAGCGAAGTCATCTTCCGGATAACAATCGCTATTTTGTTATAGTGCATATTTCTACGGCTGAGATTTATAAATTAATAATAATAACGCACACACTCATGGCCCCCCAAATGGCTAAGGACTTAAGCTCAAAGTTTAATTTAATTTCTTGTACAAACTTAGGGAAAGTTCGTTTTGTAAATACGAAAGTTAAAGTTCAATTGATAGCCTCAGTGGCCGAATGATTACTGTGCTGGACTGCCACGCAGAGGTTCCGGATTCGATTCCCGGGCCGAGAGAAATATTTGTATGGCCTACATTTATTTGTCTCGTGAGTTTGCGTTTGTCTATGTATGTGTCCATGGCACCCGCGACACAGGGTTTCCCTAATGCGGGGCTGTGTTGAGTGTGTGCGTTATTATTATTATTGTTAAGATTAAGCGCGTTTGCTCGCTGTATCCGATTCGTATTGGTTCCAAATCCGAAACTATACTAATCTAGATAATCCCAGTAAAAATACCGACTTCACAAGTCATTCATCCCCTATTTTGCCACCCTTAGAGGTGGAATATTGTCTTCAAATTGAAATGTGACCACTTCTGAAGTAATTACCCTCTTCCGAACAAAAAAAGAATCATCAAAATCGGTTCACAAATGCCGAATGCAAAAATTATCTCGTAACACATAAAAAACAGTCGAATTGAGAAGCTCCAACTTTTTTTTAATGTCACTTGTGCACTAAGTCCTATTAGAATCCGAGAAAATACGCATATCATAAAAAATTATCTCTGCGACATTTCGGACCGTCATTTCTCGGATTCCGAACTGATACAAATCGGGCGTAGTGCGCTAACCCGCAATCTCAAAAGTTAAGGAACCAAAGAACTAATACGTGCGCCATTTTGTTTTTTTTTAACGGAGTAAATATTTTCAAAAGATAAAAACACAAACATTTAAAAAAAAATTTATTGCAACACGTTTCTTAAAGTAGACCTTGTGGATGTACAACATTTTTGAAACAAAATAATCTTTTAATCGCCATGGATCTTGAGGCTGACATAAAAAGGAACTCTGAAAAAAAAAAGCAAAGGTTGTGGATGAAGACAACTTGATTAGTGTAGAAAAAAGTTTTCAAATTTCCCATAAAAAATGGTACCCAACACGAATCGCTTGTTGGCCGTACAGTCGGACAAATTACTATTAAAAATCCGAGTCAAATATTCTTCCCTATTGCAACTATACAATGTATTGATTTGCATTCTCGCCATATTTAGAGAGGTCACTCTATATCCGAAACTGTACCTACCCTAATCATGAAAAAGATAATTCGAAAAAAAAATTTCGTAAATTCCCATTTTTTATTTAATTGCTCGATACGACACTCCCCCGCCGACGCTACCCGCACCCCACCACCAAATAGATCTTAAATGCGTTTCTTTCTGTGCATTTAAGGTCATTGTACAAAATGTTTGCAAGTGCAGTGCCAGTCCCTTGACCTTTGAATGACCTTTGAATCAAATTTGTTTACCGCAATTAAATAAAAAATGGAAATTTACGAAATTTTTTTTCGATTTATTTTTTTTATTAATTACAGTTGAAGGAAGAGTACCACCAACACACGCGACTATGTCTCTATGGAGGAATCGTCTTTTTTGCGAATATTATACTTAAGGTGAAGGGGAGACTCAAAATAGACGCTTTAACGTATTTCAACCACACGGAAAATCGGTTTTTAATTGATGATGAAAACAAAAGATACCGGTAGTGAACTATGGGGCCCGAAACACGATTGACTAAATAAACTTTGCTAAGTTAACACAAGCGCAGCTATTTTGCATGATTTAACCTTCACTGGGTTCGCGGAGTAGCAAATTAATTTTTATTAGTATATCGTATACTATTACGTGTTCTATTTACTTCAATTGATATATAAAAAAAAAAATTGGTATATGTAAAGTACCTATTGAATGCAGCGATTTTCTTGTAAAATTTCGAATTAAGTTTGATTTTTTCTATCGTGAGAATTTTTTAAAATCGTTTTCACACCGTATATAGATCAGTGTACATCAATTTTACTATATATTTTTTAACACTTTCATTGTTATGCGGAACCAACCAAACCCATTTGAGGTTGTAGATACCCTTAAAGACAAATTTTAAATATCATGCAATGACTTTCTCCGCGTCTACCTCTTAAGCTTCAAAGCCTGCGCAACTACGGAAATATTTCGTCTCAAAACCCAAGAAAATTATTGCTTTGTTTGTTTTATGACTAAGGGACCCATTGACTTACAAATAAATGGACGACAGGTCTAATACAAAAACCACGAAAAAAATGTCCCAAGTCAACCTATTAAAACGTAGTGACATGTAAAGGAATATGAAAAAGCTAAACCGTTGAATTTAAATTGTAATGTCATCGCAGTACTGTCTAATATTGCTTGCTTCGCTGTCAGTCGAACAAACGAAGACTAAAGCGTGAATGACGCTCTGTATACGATTTTAACGCCCTATAAGTTCGGACACTTTTTAGCGCGCACCCGACGTCCATATAATTGTAAGTCAATGAAGGGACCCCATGTAATTTTGTACGATATCAGAATATGAGACGGAAAAGTTGTGCGCTCAGAGCTTTAATCCTAAAGTTGCCAAGTCTCATGTGCCTGTAGCTTCCCTATCAAATTTTTAGATAGTTTTTAGTAGCATTAGAGCTCTTTGTGAAAGAGTTCGTCCAGGGAAGTACTGCCTTCTTACCTAGTTCTGCAGCCAAGTAATGTGAGCATTACTGCGGTTTGGAATTCGGTTTGGAAGGGTAACAGGTGATAGTTAAATTACAAGCACATGGGACTTGTCAACTTATCCGCTCACGCGATACATGCAGCCGTAGACGCATACCACGCCTAGAGGTGCCGGTGATGATTTTATACCGATTTATCGGATATCGAAGTTATAACAGGTAAAAGAACTAATATTAATTGCTATTTCGGTAACTACTCTAGAAAACCATAAAGTTTTTAATGCCTGGGTCTGTCATTTAAAAAAAATAAACAACTTCAAAAATACGTCACGACAATCGTGTGTGTTATTGTTTGGGCTGGTGATTTCGGTGTTTATTTATTGAAAACATACCGAAGTAGCGTTTTTTAAGTTTACCCTGAATATAAATGTTTATAAAGTATACTTTAAGGAGTAATTTCATGGTAAACGTTAGAACCACTCAAACGGAATATTATCATATTTATCCAAGTACACCAAAAATTTCATTAGTGCTTTTTAAGTACAGGATTTGCGGTGTATTACTGCATTTTATTTGAGATGTTTTTGTTGGTAGTACGGAGGGTATTTATTTAGCAATGCAGAATAATAATTTTTATTTATAAAAACTTGTATTTAAACTGAATCCATTTCTATTTTGCGAAACCAAATAGCAGCCGGTTATATCTCAGGATGACGGGCGCAGTTGCAGTGCCACTAACATTTTTGCGATTTAAAGCTCTGAGTGTCATTGCAACAATTATGGACAGGCTCGTGTCGCTTACCACCAGGAGCACGACTTGTTCGTCCCGTCACTTGGTATTATAGAAATATTTATAGTAGCAGTACTTCCCTGGACAGTTGTGCGAAAACGAATTTCGTCGTCCATGACCAGGACGCGTGGCAGCAGTAACAGCCTTCTCAACACCCTGACAGAGGATGTAGCATGTCCGATTTTGTGCTATTGGACCAGAATTCATGTCACCAAGAAGAGCTGGTGACATGAATTCTAATTGCGCTACCTATTGTTAATTTGTTTTATTTATCTTTAATTATTTTCTAAATTTTGAAGTGTAATTTACAAACATAGTTCTAAATTTTCAATTGTTACTAACATCACCGTACACACAACCGTACCGTAACACACAAGTGGATCAAAGATCTTAAATTTAAATTATTATTATTGGAATAGTGAAATACATACAGAATGTCAATCGTTTATGAATGACTGCTCTCGAGAACCGATCATGAGGCACTTGCGGACGACGTCCAGCCCGGCGACTCTGCAGATGTGGATAACTCTTCACCATATCGAATCATAAGTATCAATTGCAATATCTCAAAGATTGTGACGTAATAATGAACGCGCATGATTAGTACACGCAGCAAAATTGTAACGTATAGTATACATGTTACGTCATCAGCGAACTCTTATTTGTTTAAAAGAAATCTACAGTAAAATATACATACCCATAGGAAATGAAACTAAATAAAATATACATACCCATACTTATTTTAATTTCCATTGGGGTAGGCATCTCATTCCCATCGATCCCAACTTTGCACGCTTCTGGCAGACCTATCTTACCTCTCTTCTATCCTTCAACCTTTTTATACAAACCACACTGTTTTCCTCATTACACTCCAGCCTTTTTAAGAACACTCGACAATTGATCTGAGTATATTCTTCGTTGTCATTGCCTTCTCTGTTCCCACCGTCATTCATCCGCTTCATCTGCCCAAATCACCTCAACATATCTTTGTTTGTTTTTGTTACTACATCCTCTTTCAAGTCACACCCTTCACGATCACGAATCACAAAATTCCTCAGTCTGTCACATGTGCAGTTAGCACATTCCATATTCTTCCGAGGGACCTAATTTTTACTGCATTCACTCATGTCTAGTGGTTCTTCTGCCAAGCCCAACACTAACTCCATTCCGCTCTGCCCAACTCATCAGTGTTGGAACCAAAACAGCATTGTGCACAACCATTCACACCTACTCAAATACGAACTGACTGCAGCAAACAAATAAGCTATTAAAATTTGTTATTTATTTATCGTTTCTGCGAAAACACAGACTAAAAAAAAGCAGTGCCATTCGAGCAGTTAACGATCGTACCATGTATGCACTGCCAAAAGTAAATTGTCATGTAGTAATGACTTACTTGACTGCCAGAACGCCACAGATAAGCCCATATTGTCCAGCCACATGTACCGGTAGAACTTCAGTATAGATGTCACTTCCCCTAGACCAGGCAAGGAGGTCACCGAAATACAGGTACGCGTTACTGTAATGACGTCACAAAGAACAGCAAAATATTTTATGTTATAAAAATTGGTCAACTGTAAGATGGTCCCAACGGGTGGAACGTGGTCACCGCCGTCTATAGACATTTGGGATAGTTAAGAATCGTCCTTAATATTGCAAATGCGTTGCATTGGGACGTAGGATCATACATCCCCTGTGTTCTTACGAAGGGATTGTCGGCAGGCGAAAACCCTGGTCACCTGCAGTACCTAAATAGGTGTTGAGAATTTATTTACTACCTCTTGCTTCCTTTACTCGGTTTACCGCAGACATATTTTAGGGCTCGAATAAATATTTTCGAAGAATGGGCTCACCCCAGATCCACGCAGTTGTCAAGCCCGAGGGGGTCCTCGACTGGTTCACTGATCACCGTAAAAACCACGCAGTCTTTAGGGTCAGGTTTACCCGCAGTTGGCGTTCGGCACTGTCCCATGCGGCCCACGTTCGGCATATCGTAGTCTGAGAATTGGAACTCTACGCAGAAAATGTTGAATCTACAAAACTCATTCGATAAATCTGGATATATTGCTAAAAAAGAACCAGCACCTAATAGAGTCGAGGGAAAAACAATTTTTAGATTTGTCAAATTAGTTCGAGAGAGTAATTGAAATCACATATCATCAAATTTGCGCAACAAATCGACACATCCGTAGAACAAAGATCTATGTGCAAGACTACTTGTTCTCAGGACAAAGTACATTTCGTTTGTTCCTTCTTCGCTGTGAATGTCAGATCGACCGTTGTTCGATTTTATATTTCCGAAACGAAATAAGGTACATAAATTGTCGAAACACCTTTTCTTACAACACATACTTATTCTCTTGTCGCTGTATAAACACATCGGACTCTGTTCTTCGGACGAGTCGAAATGTTTGCCCAGTAATCGATACCATAATGCACTTACTCTTTTCGAAATTAAAATAGCACTTATCCATATAGTGCTCCGGCTTGGGTAAACTGTTAGGAGTCTCAAGCTCAGCGCCGCTATAGCTCAGGAAGCTGTACGCGACGTAAAGCCGTTGCACATGCGGGTTGTTCATCGCCTCGCACTCCTCGTTGAGAGCAACCCAGAGGACTGTGATGTAGATGCTTCGAGTTCGGATGCGCTCTAGGTACTCTGATGTTGCTTCCGCCATCTAAATTGGGGATCATTTTTAAGGCTTAAGTGATCTAACTTAATTTTAAGGCACGCGCTGAAAGTACAGGCACATAGGACTTGTCAACTCATGTCTCAGGGTGACGGGCGCAGTGGCATTAGGTACCCCTTAGATCTTTGTGATTTAAAGCACTGAGTGGCACTGCAACTGTTATGAACAGGCGTGTCACTTATCACCAGGGCGACTTGTTCGTCCCATCTCATAAAAAAAGCACTAAGAATACTCTATATACTTGGAAAGAAAATCTTCCAGTTACCGGTGCTTCAAACGGCCTTTGAGCTTGACCCTTACTTTTCATTTTGGATCTTTTGAACGCTTCCAGGGTCCTCTTCGCACCTAAAACCGCATCAATTACCTATGATTTACAAAAAAAAACCAAAATAAGGGTGAAGAAAGAGTGTGCGCGAAAGGCGCCTACTCGCACGACATACCATTTAACTGCCTCCGCGGCCGAACGGTTACCATGCTGGACTGCCACCCAGAGATCCCAGGTTCGATTCCCGGGATAATTTGTGGTTGTCTATGTAACACATACATACGTGACAACCGCGACACAGGGTTTCCCTAGCGCAGAGCTATGTTGAGTGTGTGCGTTGTTATTATTATTTATTCCTTTCATGTATATCTGGCGCATCTTGGGCAACAATTGGCCAACACCTCCCGCTGATTAGCAAACCACGATGGCAAGTATTATATTGTACGACCTATGACCTCTTTCAATTGTTTTAGACCTAATGGAAAAATATTCGACCAAGTTGTCAAGGCAGTCAAGCGACTTTTTGTGCGGTCTGCCCGGATGACTCTCTGTAGATTCGAGCCTATCTATCTACCACTTCACCGGTTTTTGGCAAAAATTAAGAGATTCATGCGATTTGTGCCGAAAAATAAGGTAATATTTTATTATACAATTTTTACTCACTTATCATTTTACCCGTTGTTGCGTATTTGTTGTCGAGATCATCCACGTCTGTGTCTTTTGCTGGGATGGAATCAGATACAATAAGTGGTGCATAAGCTTGAAAAAGAATCATAATATAGCTATTTCTAAACATAGCTCAAACCGTACGTAAAGTAGACACCCAAAGCAAACAAGGGTTAGCCCTGGTGTTTTTATTACATTACCTTACATCGATTGGGAAATTCTTTCATGGTGGCATACATTATAGTGTATGTCCACTGTACGGTAAAGTCAAAGTTAACGATCATTTATTCCATAGGTAAAATAAATTTACATTTGAAAACGTCACATTTACGTTACATTACATTAAGCTACTGCTCGTTCACTACGCTGACTTCCCTGAGAAGAACGAGCAAGAAACTCTTTCAAATAAACTTGCTATGGAATACACTTTGAATCAAATTTGTATGGATTCTGGAGCCGTGTCGTCTTTCCATACATCTTTATCTAACACGTAGTCTTCAATTTTGTAATATGACTTTTCGATCAAAATTTTTAAACTTAGAAAATGATAAACTTAATATATGCTCCGGAATCTTATTGTAAAAACGTATACGGTTTCCCATAAAAGAGTCGTTTACATTGGTTAAACGAAATCGTGGTACCATGAGTTTGGACTTAGCTCTAAGGTTAATATTATAGATATCTTCTTTCTTATTGAAATTATGTATATTTTTACGGGCATATAAAATATTTGAATAAATGTACTGTGATGCCACAGTCATGATACCAGTCTCCTTAAAACTTTTCTCTGAGAGAAACCCGAGAGCCTAGACGGTACACAGAACGAATCGCTCGTTTTTGCAATACAAATATGGTTTGTATATCTGCCGCTTTACCCCACATGAGAATCACGTAGGACATATACTATGGAAGTAACTAAAGTAAACTAGTCTAGCAGTACTAACATCGGTAAGCTCACGTATTCTGCGGACTGCGTATGCAGCGGAGCTTAATTTGCTGGCCAGGGAAGATATATGTGAAAACCATTGAAGTTTACTATCTAAGGTGACTCCCAAGAAGACTGCTTTATTGACAAGGTCTAACATTTCTCCGTTTATTTCTATGCTTGGTCTAGTCGATTTTACGTTAGGTAATTCAAATTTAACACATTTTGTCTTCTTGGCATTAAGCAATAAATTGTTATTATTAAACCAATAAAGTACTTTATAAAGGGTATCATTAATAAGAAGGTAGGTAAGAAGCCGCCCCATTCATTAGGAACTTACTATTTAATAACCAATTTCGCAATGATTATGTACCTACTTAATTTCGTCAACATGCAAAGGACATACATCGTTATTTCATCAGGTTTATTTTGTAAGAAAGAAGTGATTACAATAAACAGGAAACTAAAAATAAAAAAAAAATTATGTTAATTGATTATCATTTTTGCACTCCAAAATCGCGAAATAAGGTATTTTTCTATAATTTTCTAGATTTTGCGCGAGATAATCGACGCGACCATAATGTATAAAGCGAAAATGGCAGACAGAGCTCAAGTTTGCGGACTCTGCGAACTGTTGGCACACGTGCTAAGTAAACTAAGCACTTCTACTGTATTTATAGTAAGTAGGTACTGTGTTTTTGGCAAAACGATCATTATTGTATGTACGCATATATTGTATGACAGTTTTACAAATTGCTAATCGCTTTTTTTTACTCCTAATTTCTAAATGTGAATTTTTTTTCCATGTTAAACAATAATTAAACTGTCAAGAATGAAGAAAACAAAAAAAACTTACGTTTATTTTTGATATTATCTACGGAGTTGGACAACGCATGTTCAGTATTTTGCCTCTGCGAAAAAAATTTTTTTTCAACACATGTTCTAGAAGTAGTACCATAATTAAGTATAGGTACCTTTATTTAGGATGTAATCGTTAAGTGTGCCCAGGCGAGTAGTCCACAAATGTAAGAGATATCAAAAAGCTTTAAACTGATATCGAAAGTACGTTACGTTACTAATGAGTAAATCGTAACCAATATCTTTTTAAAAATAAAACTAAATATATCCAAAATTTTAACATTGAATATGGGTGCCATGCCATGGGTGATGACATTCGTAGAGAGGCTTCAGTTGACATACTTTAAGAGGTAACTATAAGTTTACATACAACAAAACGGCTACAAATAAAGTAATAAAACTATCTTTTAATTGAATAAAATTTGATGCCATTGTCGATTATTTGGTCAAGTGTGAGATGTTCATAAAAAATAAGTTTTGTTATCTGGAAACTTATTGTTAACTCATAAAGTAGGTCAACTAAGGCCTCTCTACGAATATCATATTAAATGTAGGGGTGCGTTTATTTTTAGATGAATCATCATCGTAGATCAAAGATTTGGTAAGGGTGTGATGTGATGTTAAACGCGCCGATTTGATTCATTGCCCGTTGTCGTACTGGGTTGTCCTACTCCATGGTTCTACCAGTAGGACTATGGGCAAGAAATGGTTATATTGTATGGGCATTGGATCTACTGATCGGGTAGTACAGTCAACGTCAATATTAATAAGGTTCTGAGCTAACTACAACTGTTTTCTAGGATGATCCCTGTGACGGTCAACAAATATCGCAAGTCATGTAATAATGTGCACTGTTTAATGTATTTTATAAATTATTTTTGTAAGTATCGCTTTTAAGTGAAAACATTATATGGTGCGTGCAGTCACTGCGCCGAAAAGCGCCGCAGCTGGCTTTAAAACCCAACTTCATATCTACTTTGGAATGGCGACTGATCACGCCAGCAAACTCGGTCTAGGGTCTACTTAATTCACAGTATTGTTTCAAGCGTGTGTGTATTATTTATAAAATTTAAAAAAAAAAGTTATATATATATATATATATTCTCTTTTACTTAGGTACTATTTGTATATAAGACTTTTCGTTTGTATGTTATGTGTATTTTTTATGTGTGTGGCAAATAAATAGAATTAAATTGATATTTGTGACCGTAAAGGGTCTAACATTATGCCGAATCCCTTTACAACATGTATTCAAGAGTGAAGAAAGAAACCTAAAAGCTCTTATTGTGGCACTTACGTCGCCCGCTCTCTTCATTTCATTCGTAGTCGGCATACCACGTGACTGAAATAAAATAATTTATTGATTATAAAGGATTATTTTTAAAATACTAATAATCTCACACTTTTTACAAAACATAATAAATTTACTAAAAATAAACATATTAGTTTTTGTTGTACTATTTGACACTTTTTAGATATGTATTTGGTAGAATAAGTTCAAAGGTGTGTGCGAGCGTCCTCCGCGACAACTCCACCCTCGCAGTTGTTACCATTTAGAGTGCTTACCCAGGGCGACGTTTAGCAGCGATAAAAACGCGATTGCGTCGATGAAATCGCCTATAAATCCCAAGTGTAGCGATACAATCGCGCGTTTGTGTCGATTCAGGTGCATCGCGTTTGCATCGCTGCTTAAAATCGTCGTGTATAACCGCTCTTAGAGCAATCTATTTAAATCGATTTATTTTTGTATGAAAGTAAAATCGGATGAATTACTAAAAGTTATGGAACAATTGCTGCTGTTTATGATGTTAGTAATATAGTCCTCAGAGGTTGTTAGTATTTTATAAATAACCCTGTATAAATGTTCTCGTGCTATATTGAAATAACGTATGTGAAATGCAGTAGGTAATTAGATATTGGAATTTTTATGGTAACTGCACGGAATAGTCTCAATTATGGAAGTACACAGACGGCGGCACTTCAAGCTACATATCGACGGGGTAAAATATGAACGCTTCAATTCCATAATAAATGGCGCGTGAGACGGCCCACATTATGCAACTCGAGTGAACCGCCAGATTATGCGAATGTGTGCGTTCTTACACGGCGCGCGACTGGTGTGCACACGTACCAGTCGCGCAGTTATGTTTGTATGGAGTTACACTACTACTTGCATTGAGGTGGTTTTCCACAGGTGAGGCGAGACGGGACGAGACGAGAATTGAAATCTCGCCGGTCAACAATTGCCATTAATAGCTCGCGCTGTGGTTGAGGATGGTGAAGATTCAGTGCTAACTAGTGATAGACACACGACTGAGGTAACAGTTCGACAAATTATTATTAAATCTATTAACGGAAGAAGAATCAGGTGAACCCTTTTTTTTTAATGAATACCCCAACATCTTGCGATTATCATTAATAGACATCGCGAGATCGTACACGCACTCGCGAGCTCGCGAAAGAAATCGTGTTTCCGTTGCAGTCTTATATTCAATGTAGGCAGCAATATTTCAATTCTCGCTTCGCTCATTCTCGTCAATCCAGACTATTTCCACCAAAGATGCGCTATGAGATAATTGAAATTTTGCCATAGAAAATTTCAATGCTCGTTTCATCGCGCCACGCCGGAGGAAAAGCACCTTTATGATTCTCTACGCTTATTATCCTGACCGACATCTTTCGTCTCATCAACACGCATCAATGCTTTATACATTCTCGTCCATTAAAGTTATTCGTGACCTGGCTTTTCTTTAGGACTTTTTTGAATTGGTTCCTGTTTAGTCCGCCTGAGTCGGCCCTTAATATTCGTAAAAAATATCTACACCTAGTAACAAATTCTTACCAGTTCATTGGCCATGAATCTAAAAGATTTAAGTGCACTAGGCTGGAAAAAAGAACGAAGAAAGTATGTAGAAAGTATGTGGCCCTAAAACAGACACGCCCTCTACTTTTCTTCCTATTGATTGTGTACGTTATTACTACCGCTTAGTTTTTTTTCATTTTGCCACAATCGGATCATTTGGTTTGCAATTCGAGTTCCAAAGTCACATTTCAAATGTATTCGGCAGTTAACCTCCTGCTTAGCACGCTATGCTAATGTTAAAAATAAGTACAAAAATTATCCTAATATAAATGGGGTGCAGGCATAAGTGCATAAAGTCAACAAAACTTATTGCAAAATGGATCTTACGTTAGGAACTATACTGCGCGGCGGTAGCGGCGATGATTGATGACCACGGTCCATGCCCAACGAATGGCTGAGACTTGTCCGGCTGTACCTGCCAGCGCTGACGGCGTCAGCGCCTGAGTGCCCGAATTCTCTTTATTCTTAAAATGGAACGTAACCTACGGTTGTTGTTAAAAGCTTTTGCATCAATGTACCGAAAAGTTAATATTCACTTAGAGTGTCGATGTGGAATGACCCATCCTAGAGTTTTGGTTGTGCAAATATAAAATTTAATTTCCATTTAAGAGTCGACACTAGCTCGAATTCATATCTTTCCCGTATACGATTCATTTTATTTAGGTCAATGCGACAATGGCTTTATTTCAATTTTTTTTATTTTACAAACTAAATAAAAACCATTTGAAAAATGTATATCGTATACTATAAGTGTTCTGTTTAGTTCAGTTGATATAAAAAAAAATCATTGGTGTATGTGAAGTACCTACTGAATAAAGTAAGTTTGTGTTTTTTTCTAACATAAATTTTTTTAGGAATCGTGTTTTCACACCGGATACTTAGAATAATAACGCATAGAAACCTAGCCCGCACACGCTAAGTGAGGCAAATTGAAGCGCGCCAAAAGGGCCTACACGAGCGGGCGGGCCTTCAGTGCTCAAGGTCAACTTGCACCGCGAACAGCTTCAGAATTTTAGTTAAAAATGACGAAATGTGTGGTAAATTTGTGTAAAAATACGTCATACAAACATACAATATATACTAACATCACATTCCACAAGGAAGTAACGCATTTCAACTTGTATTTTTATATAAATATTCACTAAAACCGAAAATTAACCTACTACTAAAACTAGCCTACATGAATTTGATTTTTGCCTCACTTGTGACAGTTCGTTTGATATGAAACTATCATTCTATGCGTTATTATTCTAAGACCGGATACTAATCAGTGTATATCGTTAATTTTATAGTATGTTTTTTACAAAGTGATTGATTCAAAACTTTCACTGTTATGCGAAACCAACTAAAGCCATTTAAGGATGTATAGATCGTTAAGTTTTATTAACTATGAATTTTTAAATTAAGCATTGACGTTTTTGTAAACAAACATCTGTTTACAAAAAGTTACTCCTAGAGTTTCGTACTTGTTATTCTAAGGACATTCTATCTTACACATGGGTAAATTGTTTTAACGATTTCAAGTGTAACACTGCTTACCAATCAAATATATATTTAGAACTGAATAGAAGCGAGTACAATAAACATTAGAGCCGAATAAATGACTTTATAAACATATCGAATGTCTAACGCAAAAACAAACAGAATTCATCAATAGAATATTCACACTTTATCAGGAACATTAGATTTCGGTACATTCCTGTTTAAGCTAATCGTACCTATCTCTTTAAGTATTATTAAATAGTACCGGGATGCATGAAAGGAACGACGTATCATTCCTTTTCAGTACGTCTATCGTCGGATCCTGGGTAACAATCGACACAAAAAACTTTTTTCGACTTGCCAAAATGTATTTTTTTTTTCATCTAGGTACCTTACTCATCTCTTAAAATTCTTGTTGCGACATATCATGCAAGTAGGTTCTAAAACAACCCAATAAATATTAAAACTACCAACCAACTGCCAAATAAGCTTCTAAAACTGCCATACGAGCTTCTAAAACAGCCAAATGGAGATATATCCAATGACCATTACACCAACTAACTTTTTGATAATTTTCTGTTTTTAATGTAAACAGCCTTATTTTACTTACTAATGTTATGCTCCCCGAATTTTGTAAAAAAATAAAGAAACAAAAAACGAAATTCGAAAAAAACAAAACAACGAATTTTGTAAAAAAAAAGAAACAGAAATGACCAAAAAATTATGTCGGCGTAGTGTTTCATTTGAGATATCGAAACAAACATCTAAAAAAGACAAACAATACCTACTCTAAATCAACCAAGCTTTTGAACAGCCAAACAAGTTTTTAAAGCCAGCAGCGCAAGCAAATTGTATTCTGCATAGGACGTGCGATGGTCCTGTATTTTTTTTCAGGTTGCACATTTGTAACACAATAATACTAGAGATTATTCGATGAAAGTAATAAAGTGTGAACGAGTACCAAAGGCATGCCGGTGCAATCCTTCCGGTCCCAATCCGCCCGCATTTGTCCCTTGCGGAACCGAATGACCCGCCGAGGTTGACGATGCGTACACAGGGTACGATTGCTACGAGCAAGCAGTTTTAAAGGAAGAAATTTATACAATTAATTACAGAGTAGACTGGCATTACGAGTAAATAACTTACTGTTGAATCGCGATATCCGTTCTTGTTTTTGGGATAGCGGTTTGATTCGTTCGTCGGTGGCTTTGTATTAGCGCTGTTAATTGGTAGCTCCATCTGTTGGGAAAAGAATCCGTTACTATATTATGGGATGCCTAAATACAGGCCTACCGCTTAACTGAGTCGGTGCGAGGGGTGTGGCAGTTTACTTAACAGTTATGTCGTGCTGCACACGAGATAATTTCAACAAGATTTTTTTGACGATATTCAATAACAAGTTGATTGAAAAAAGTGTCAAATGGCATGTCTATTCAGTTCAATTATCAATGAAATAGTTTTTTTTATTATCTTTTCACACATCGAGTATATAACCAGAAATAGCGACGGAATGTCATTTATTTGTTTGATAACTATTTTTACTTTTAACAGTTTAACTTGAGCTTTCTCAAGAGTTTGAGCTTGAGAGTTTTTTCAAGCACACCAACGTTTCGGACTCTTTACAGGTCCCATGATCACGGTTGACCGTGATTTAAATACACGAGATTGAAATCCGGTAAAAATGTTTCATTTCCTATGCAAAGTTACATATTTAATTATCGACGAAATATGATTCCGTTTGTTTTGTAATTAGATGTTTTGCTGTTTTTTTCACACCACAGAATGAAACAGTCCCCCATAGTTAGAGATATTATCTTTATTACAATAAATAAAGAATATTTTTGGAATATACGAAGACGTACACACAGGTCAGTTGTTGGCGTACTATTTCAGCTTTCTAATTTGTGATTTCAGCGCAAACAAGAGTTGATATTTAAAAGTGATATAAGGCCCATTTGCCTGATGAGTAGCCAGGGATGTATTCGTCTCTATTTGTGGTTATATACTCGATGGTTTCACATAACAACAACTGATTAATTTGGTAGGCACACACGGTGGTAAGAGACACGCTTCTCCATAACAATCGCAGTATCATTCAGAGCGTTAAATCGCAAAGGTCTGCCACTGCGCCTGTCACCCTCAGACATAAGTCGACAAGTCCCATGTGCCTGTAATTTCACTAGCACCTTCAAAACCGGAACGCCGTAATGGTCACATTACAGCTTGGCGGCAGAAATACATAGTTATGGTAGCGGCTTTCCTGGACGAACTCTTTCACAAGGAGTTCTACTGCTACTAAATTCTTATGTCGATAAATCCTTACCTCGGAAATTTCATGAAATCTATTCATGTGCGCGGAGTCAGGGTTCAGGTCTACTGACATTCGGATTTCTGTGTCGTCCTCGTCAAGCTGCGCCAAGATGGGTCCGCTGATGCTGGGCCGCGTGGCCATTGGCTAGGAATACCAATTGCAGTAATAAATGACGCCCCTTTGGGACATAAGACACTTTACAACCACCACACCGCCCCCAACTTCCTCCCCCGGATTGGAAGTCTCAATACGGGTTGGAGTCACAATAATACTTATAAATTTAATTTAACAAAGACTTATTGAAGAGATAAAAAGTATTGGTATTGTTTGTACCAATGTTATGACGATGTTGGTAACCTAGGGCTTAGTAGGCGCCGATAAGGTTCCGGATTTGTGATTCATGATAGGATGGATAGAAATTCTTATTATAACATATATAACTTCTAAATTGCTTCTGATCTGTGGGCTATGATCACCCTGGCATTCGTAGTACAAGGAAATTGGTGTGATTGACGATTGTGATGTCTGGAACATTATTTTATGAGCTTATGTAGCAGCAAAGGTGCGCGTGAAGAAAACCTATTCCAACCGGTTTCGGAGACCAGTACATATTCTGGTCTGACTCAGTGGGGTAAATAGAGGTGCGCGTGTTACCTTAGCGATGGCATTGTTGATGGTCGACAGGACTTTCGGCTCCGCGCGCAGTTTGCACCACAGGTCTAGCACGCCCACCTCGTCACCTGAATCTAACGCGTCGATGCGCCGGCACTGCGGCGACACCATGCCCGGCCCCGCCACCTACAGGTGGGTGGTAAATTACGCCACGATGAAAAAATCACAGTGATCATCCGTCAAATAGTATCACAGTGACTTTTTACGAAGGAAGGATGTTCCAAAATCACGTAGGTTGTACCTCAGTTCCACTAACTCTTCCGTCACTCACATCACGGCACACGACGTATTTTTTTTTTTAGAAACAAAGTCATGCACCTCTCCGTTCTGTAGAGACTGGCGACTGCGCAATTAATTATAGTTCGCTTTTGTTTTTAAATTCTAATTTATGAATCAAGAAATAATTACATCAGTATTGTACAAAATTGATCCATAATAATAAACACGCCGCATGTTTTAATTAACGAATAACGCGACAAACCTGTAAAACTGTGAAGGTTATTGCGGATCAATTTTTCAATTATAATTAAACGTTTTCTTCAAAGCGAGTAATACAACGCCTATAAAGGTGGTTTTCCACCGGCGAGGCGAGGCGAGATGAGCCCTTCTTTTGTAGAAATGATCTAGATTGACGAGGATGGGCGATGCGAGAATAGAAATATTTATTAAATTGATGTAATATTGAACCGTAATGTGGCCTACATAGAGTAGGATTATACTCTGCAACGGAAATACGATTTCACGGTCTCGCGCGAGCTCGCGTGGCTGTTAATATCAATCGCACGTATGATTTGAGATTTAAAAAAGATGGCTTCATCTGATTCTTCTTCCGTTAACATATTTAATAAAATAATAATAATTTTCGGAACATGTTTCTTCAGCCGCGTATTTATCGCTAGACGAACTGAACAGCACTGAATCTTCACTTTCCACAATCATAGTGCGAGCCCACGCGAGATCGGAATTTTTGGTGGAAATAATAATTCTCGTCTCCTCGTCTTGTCTCCCTCGCCGGTGGAAAACCACCTTTATGCCAAAACCGTGTATCGTGATGTAATCGCAGTGATTTTTTTGTAACTGGAAAGTAGTCACGGTGATAGAAATGTAACGCTTTTTCTCATGTCTATGTCTTTTCGTATGTTGCTGTAGGTGGCGGCGCCACGCATTATGATCTCTGATTAAATTGTATAGCAAATTCGTACATTGCTGCCGACTTCAAGCAACTTCATCAGGCCATTAGCCACACGCGCCATCATTTATACCTACTTGCTTTAGGGCGAGGCCAGATTAACGTAACTTTGTGAGTTGCGTTATTTGAGCTGCGTAATTTATGCTGCATTCGGTTTAACAAAAAAGTCCAGTTTTTTCTACACGACGATGCAAAATGAGTTGTCTGCTGACTCACGCGGTAATTATACAATTGAATTTCGGTCGCACCGTGCAACGTTCTGGTGCGGGTAGAGGAAGGGGTTAAGGAGGTGGTCACTTTTGTATTGAACGCGCGTGAGTACAAACGTTTCTTGCTCCATTACACTATATGACACAAACACCCCGTACTATGTTCGTTTGGCGACCCAAACGAATTTCAGTCGAAGGTAAAGTACCTACGCGACTCAAAACTCGCATAATTACACTCGTCTGGCCTCACCCTTACTGAAAATACTGTAACTTACCAAAGCAAGTGATTTGTCGGCTCTTCTGTTGGCGTGTAGTAGGGCGTCTCGAAAAGGCATTGTACAGGTAGCGAATGGCACGTCTGGCTTGTTTATTTCACAAATCTTAATCGGCATTTCCTCCTGTCGAACAAGGTAGTGGAATTCGACAATGTCATCGTCCAGGATTACGTGACGACTTTCATGGCTCAGGGTTAGCGCTATGGGCGCTTGATGATGAAGTCCCGGTAGGACTAATTAGAAAACGAAATTTTCTAAATCGATTTTGTTGTGGGTCCTGTCGTTGCTTTGGTATTCAATTGATCGTCATCATCATATCAGCTGGAGGACGTCCACTGCTGAACATAGGCCTACCCCAAAGATTTCCAGACTAGCCGATCGGACGCGACGCATTCATCGGTTACCAGGTCATCCGTCTATGTAGTAGGGGGCCGACCCACTGAACGCCTTCAGTTTCGTGCTCTCCATTCATGAAATTTCTGCCCCAACGTTCGTCAGTTCTACGAGGTACGTGCCCTACTCAATGCCACTTCAACTTGCTCATTGTTTGAGCTAAGTCGGTGACTTTTCTTATTCTACGGATCTCATTTATGATTCCATCACGTAGAGAAATGCCGAGCATTGGTTTCTCTATAGCTCGTTGAGTGACTCGTTGCGCTTTTTTATGAGACTTAGTAATTGACCACGTCTCAGAGCTCTAGATCATCCCTGGCAACAGGAACTTATACATCCATTTTAATAACCTAAAATAATTTTCATAAGTGACACAGAACTAGTGTTGTAAAAAACTCGATTAAAGTTTACACGGCTCGGTGACCTAAATCACTCCAGAGTCCGAGTCGAGTCGGGCGCGAGTCATCGGAGCATGGACTCGAGTCTAAAAAGAACTCGCGACTACAAAGTCTTGAGTACGACATGCAGGGTTCAATTTTACCGAAGAGCTACCTATTGCCAACAAATGCAATAAAAAATAAGACTCAATATGGTGATTTAAAGAAAAGAAGATATTAATACGTAATTCTACTACTGTTTAACATACCACAACACCGCCCAACTAACTCGAGCGTGACTCGTTAGATAAACAGACTCGATTACTAATGTCGTAGGTACTCGATTCTATTCGGAAACTCGATATACTCGTAATACATCAAGCAGTGGAGTCTCTGTCTTTATGAGTCAAGTCTTGTGAATTGGAGTTGAGTCCTAAAATGTGGACTCCCGGACTCGAGTTTTTTAACAACACTGCATAGACGGTTCTATGACAGGGTCTACTCCCTTTCTCCGTCTAACATACGTCCGAAACAATTACGTCAAATAAGTAATACCGGACCAAATTAAAAACGCATGATGCGAATGACGCTTCACACTTGATATTCTTTTAATTTCGTCGAGTGTTATTATTTCGGACGGACGGTTGTAGACCCCCAGAACCGTCCTCGTGCAAGGACCTCCTCAAGTGGAAGCGCAAACTTTGACTCGGTAATCATTTCACTTGTCAAAACTGTAGTTTACCGCGACTATGGGACCAACTCATACTAACGTATTTCATGTAATGGAGGAAGTCATCGGTGAGCTTGACGTCATACTCGGTAGAGAAGTCGAAGTGCGTGACGCGGCCGGCGCGCATGCGTGTCATCGCCACGCTCTGGTCGAAGAACTGCCAAGTCAGCATCAGATGCATGTCGCGGGAGTTCATCACAGCCTGGTGTTCGACGTCATGATAAAAATCACAGAACCGCTAAAACGTTAGCTATATTTTCATAATTTATGTACTTGAGTGTATACCTAGAAGTACCTACCTACTGTTCAAAAAGTCATAATCAAGAACAGACTACAACACTCAATCAATTTAATATAATAACTTCTTTAAACAACACGATGGTTGGATATACTCAATTAGTTTAATATAATTACCTCATCAGACAACACAACTGTTTAACATACCGGATCACTTTAATATAAGTTCCTCATCACCCATCACGAATGGCTTAAGATACTAGATCAGTTTAATATAATTATCTCATTAAACAACACTATGGTTTTATATATCACTAATAATATTATTACCTCATCAGAAAACACGACGGTAAGAATATGTATGGTGAAATGGCATTTCGGAGCGATGGTATCACCGATTTGTTGTTTCCCTATTGATTTACGAAGCGCTATCGAGGGCCTTGGACTTAGGTAGACTGGTTGCTCTGTGTTCACCGACGTTGATGCTCGTTTTGGGCTCTGAAGGACATAATTTATGGAAAACTATGTAGTTGTTTTGCGTTATGCCCGTAGGATTGCAAAAACTCCTTCAGAATTACTGCAAAAGCTCTAGTAAAAAAATAGATTAGAATTAACGGTCGGACTATAGATACCTCACCAAAGGAATTTAATACATCAGGAAGAATTTCACGCCAAAGCAATCATCATCCTAGGTTTTCACAATTGTTACAAACTGGAAATAAAACTATTTTTTGCGGATCTACCGCTTCGACACTACTGGTTTAGATCATAGTTATCCTAATGTGAGGTGACGACTACAAACGTTTTCCAAAGATGTGACCCTGCATATTGAGGTTTTAAGAGATTTTAGCGAACTTTTGTAGAAGCAGAAATTATTTCGAAATAAAAAAAAAGTCGCAGTGTCCGAAAATTTTACCCCTGTGGTTTATAATAATAGGGGTTAAAGTATGAAATTGCCGATTTGTACTGAAAATCTAAATTGTTTATTTTTTAAATTTTTAACAAATTTATTTAATCAAAATAGTTGCCATTATTATCTATACATTGCTGCCATCTAATGGGAAGGTTATTAATGCCTTTGCGATAGAACTCCGACGATCTAGACTGCACAAACTGTGTGAAAGCATTTTGTACTGCCTCCTGGGAAGAAAACTTCTTGTCACGTAGATAATAGTCCAAATCACGAAAAAAATGGTAGTCCGTTGGAGCAAGGTCTGGTGAATACGGAGGATGACGAATGGTTTCTAACTGCAGTTCCTGAAGGGTCAAAATGGTTTCTCGTGCTGTGTGAGGTCTCGCGTTGTCGTGGAGCAATAATGGTGAAGATCGATTCATGAGTCGGGGCTGTTTTACTGCTAGTTTTGTCAACATGGTTCGGAGTTCGGCACAATAGACATCTGCCGTTATTGCTTGACCAGATCGGAGAAAACTATAGTGAATAACACCATGCTGAGACCACCAAACAGTTACCATTACCTTTTTATTGGTAAGTTTTGCTTTAGGACACTGTTGTGGCATTTGACCTGGGGTCAGCCATTGCATTTTTCTTTTCCGGCTATCATAAAGAATCCACTTTTCATCACATGTTACAATTCGATCCAATATTCCTTCATTTCTGTACCGGTTCAACAAGGCAACACAAGTTTCAACACGCGTTTCTTTCTGCAGATCAGTCAAATCATGAGGCACCCATTTTTCGTATTTTTTTATTTTATTGATTTGACGCAAGTGAGTCAATATTGTGGGTAAGGTAACGTTAAACCATGCCGCTAATTCCTGGGTAGTTTGACTAGGATCGGCTTCCACTATCTCTCTTAATTCATCGTTATTCACCTGTGTGGGCGGTCTTCCTCGTGACTCGTTCTTTAACTCGAAATTTCCATCACGAAAGCGTTTAAACCAAAATCGCACGGTCCATTAGTAGACCCCTCTCCAAACGCAGCATTGATATTGCGGGCTGTTTCTGCCGCGTTAGTTCCGCGTCGGAACTCGTATTCAAAAATCACTCGAATTTTCGCAGTATCCATCTTTCTTGTCTAAATTGAATAACAAAAACAATTGAAAGTCGATATTCAAATGTTTCAAATTTAAAAAAAAAATCACAGAAACCATTTGAAAAAAGTTTCATTCGAAAACCTCAAACCATGAAGATTCTATGAAAACTCAAAGAACCTATTGCAATAAAACGGCAATTTCATACTTTAACCCCTAATATTATACAACAGACAATAAATATGGTATATGACACACATACTTATATAAATAAAACCAATTACGTAAAACAATAACAATTCAAATAATAAGTATCTTTATTATCTTCTAAAACATACAGGTAAGAGCAACGTCACACGGGCGCTGCGTCGTCGCAACGCTATGATTTCAATTCAACGTACTAAGTTGCTTGCACTAAGTGGCGCGCCATTTCAACGCACCGCGTGGCCTATCGTTCTGGGACCTTAGTGTAAATGTTCACATCTGGACTCTTAACTATCGCATTTGCGTTAAGATTTTAATTTAAACCTTATAAATATATTATTAAGATCCAAATAATAATCTTATCCCAAACGCGGTAGTTAAGTCTGAATGATCACAAATTTACACTCAGGCCTGTTATATGTAATATTTATGTAATATATGTAATATTTTTATGTAGTACAACACAACGTCACAACGCAACGGCGTCACACACAACGCAACGCAACGGTGTCAGAACGCCGACGCAACGCACCGTGTGGCGTCGCTCTTAATGCTCGAATATAGATCTTGATGTGGGACACAGATAACCAAGCTAGGCAAATTCTGTACTTCTAGCTTCCCCTCTCGGTAAATGTATAAGGCAGTAAAAACTTAACAAAAACATACACATTTAATACTAAATGAAAAAATAGATTTGATACTAGATGAAAAAATAAATTTGATACATAATGAAAAAATGAATTTGATACTAAATGAAAAAATAAATTCGATACTAAATGAAAAAATGTGGTATAATGTCATGTCGGACTGACAATAAAACTACTATGAAAAAATTTCAAAGTTTAATCCCATAATTTTGTTGTTGTTAATTAGTGTCTAAATAAGTTTATTTACATTACAAAAGTAACAATACTGTATTTCAACTACCTATAGATTTACTATAGTAATCGATACTGTTCGTTTATGTGCGAGAGATGCAATGAGCGGTGGTTATTATTTTAGTACATACATTTGTACATTTTACGCCTTTTTCCCACGACTCTGGCTGACCGTTCGCCGATGAGGCGAACGCACCAACGCTTTCATATAAGCTCGTCGGTTAAAGGTACTCTTGACCTGGGCCCCAATCTGCTATCCATTGTAAATAAGTCCATTGGGACTCCACTGAGATCATATTACAATTATGATAATATTTGTTATTCTACTAAAATCAAGTTGCAATGGTAGTAGAGTCTCAATAGTGTCAGTGATGATATTCTTTCATTGAATCACTAACGATCGATGTTGCCTCACTAAAACTACCATGGAAATTACTATAAAATAACTTATAGTCCTTTTTTTGAAGGCGGAGTAAAATGACATTTGTAGGGTTGTCAGTTTTCATAAAATTTTAAGTAGTTATGTCATTGACTTACAAATAGATGGACGTCGGGCCCGCGCTAAAAAGTGTCCGATACAGGGCGTTAAAATCGTATACAGAGCGTCAATCAAGCTTTAGTCTTCGTTTGTTCGACTAACAGCGCGCTTGTCAATGATGCCGTATTGTGTGGTAAAATCTTGTAAAAATTACTCAACTAAAGTGAAAAAACAGGATGGTCTATCATATTTTCAGTAAGTACTACATTGTGTTATCATAGTTATCATTTAAAAGTGTGATTTTATGTGCTAGTATATATAGTATTTAATTTATATTTAAATTAATCGTAAATATAAATTACAAAAGCAATCAAAATAATCAAATAGCTAACTGTCTCTTTCCGACTCATTGCTTGCGTAAAAGACTGAACGAGACCCATCACGTCAATTTCAATTGTTTGAAACACAAGCGTTTGAAATATTTAGAACAAAAAATTCATAGAGTCGCTTTGATGCTAATGTTATTATTAAAATGTTTTTTAATAGTTACATGTTAGTAATACTTTCAAATATTGTTGTACTCTTTCTAAGGCTCGGGTTTCTTGCAATTTAAATTGGTTGACTTGGGACATTTTTTTCGTGGTTTTTGTATTAGACCCGTCATCCATTTATTTGTAAGTCAATGAGTTATGTAGTTGTTGTCGATAGTTTTATCGATACATTGTGAAAAAAATTAAAATTTTGCCAAAATAACTGAATGAATGTTACGACGTTCCAATAATAATAATAATAATTATTAATTGCGTTATTGCTTTCTGTAACACAATAAATTTTGGCAATATTAATGAAAACAGTTCCGAAGTTCGCGGTGTTAAAATTTTCCGCTAATCACCTCTTCTCTTACTAGAGTTTGTAACAATAGTTCCAAATGTTTACCACTAGATGGCATTGCAACGCAATTTCTGAATCCCGGTGTTAAAATTAAAGTAAATAACCTGTCACCAGAATTTTGTATGAAATTGATCGATTCAACGATTGCATTTCTCCGGTTATCCTCACTACTAAGCGGAAGCATCTCGAACTAGCGCCTATCTTTTGGGACAGGCTACGAGAACACCTCTAAGAGGTTTTTTGTAATATTCGCACCCACCGGGACGTGTTGCGGAATCTGTGCCGCGCTGGAATCCAACGGGACGAATCCCTTTTATAATCCCTTTTATTGGACACCCTTGTATTGTTAGCTGTTGTACAATAAACCAAATCTTCTTCACCAAATTTCGCCGTTTGATTCCTAGACGTAGTAACGGGGCACGAGCTAGCTGAGCGAATCTCTACCACCCTGTACACCCCCTCCTACTACCCTTCTTTATTTTTATTTTCACAGTTGGCCTACTAGTATCGAGACTAATATTTATTCATATACATTTTAACATAACCGGATTTGATCTATATTGAATTAAAATGAAAAACTTCAAAATACGTCTCTTTTTATTTTTCATAAACATAGTTCTAAATACAGTGTATGTACGTATGAACTTAGAAAAATTGAAAATTCAAATGAACTTGTGCTCAGTAATTGAATGAATAATGGGTCGAGGAAGATTCAAATGAAACAAGTACGGCTATTTATTCCATAAGCGTGACCAATATTCAGTCGATAGTCGATAGAACATTCATCGATAGCAATCACTAGTCGCTCGCAAGCGGGCAACACTTTTGCACAATGAAGTGTCATTTTGCTCCGTCTTCAAAAAAGAGACATAATTTTTATCTCGTCAGCAATTTAGTTTTCAAATAAAAGGTGTTTTTTTATGTCAAATAATTAGTTGTGTCATCGATTCTCCCTTAAGAGTAGAATACCAAAAATTGCAATGGTACGTGAACAGTAGCTCTATCGCTAGTCAATGACAAGCTCTTATCTTTTAGAAAAATACCAAACGTACAAAATCCTGATATTGACACTCTTGGGGCCCAGAAATTTTACATATTTAAAGTTTACTTAATATTAAGATAGAGGAAAAATATCCACTACTGGATGGAAGTCAAAAATATTAAATCAAGGAAGCATATTTACCTGCAATTTATCGCACCCTCAATAAAAATAAGTTATGACCTACATTTATTTATCTCATGAGTTTGGACGTAATTTGTGGTTGTCTATGCGTGTGTCCATGGCACCCGCGATACAGAGTTTGCCTAATGCGGGGCTATGTTGAGTGTGTGCGTTATAGATATATATATAGATATATATACATAATATATATATATATCTCTCTCTATCTAGACTATTACATATTATGTATACATTGGCAGAAGCTTGTCTATTTATAGACCTAATCTACGAAATTAAAATCTAATATATAGTTTTCTTTATCATCTTCTAAGGCATTATTTACATCTGAGACGTTATTTTCAATTGTTTTGATTACTTACACTGCCTTCTGTTATGCAATACTATTTAAGTTTAGTTTACATTTATCATTTACAACATTTATGTATTTAGATTCGTAAAGCTTAGCATATCGCATCATCTTTGTTAACTTGTATAATTAGTATAATTAACTTAGCTTTTGTAACTTAGAAATTAATCGTTTGTTACATACAACTAAAAGATAACGGAAGAGCGGGACTTTCTGTCACAAGTGGATGACACCTACTAGGAAGTCCCAACCTTGTGTAAAAACAGCTTAAAAAAATGAAATAAACTTTTTTCATCTTCATTTTCATTTTCATTTTTCATTTTCAATACTTTACACGATTTTTGTAGCAAACTTTTCATTAAAAATATATAATTCATTTTCAATAAAAAGGCATTCTTTCTAGTACAATTGCAATAGCACATTTTTCCCAAAAGCTCTTTAAAAATTTCACCCTGTAGACGCATGTTTTGTCATCATATTCATATTTTTTAAATATTTCTTTAACTACCAGTTGTTGAGAAAAAAAATAAAGAGTAAAATTTAGTTACAAAAGGCCCGCCCAGGAATTTGTCAACTGTATGACGTACTTTTCCTGAATAAAAACCGATATTACGTTTGATAAATTAATCAGTGTCAAGTTTTTGTTAGTTTAATGGCCTTGGGTGCGTGCAATTTATAAATTTTCTACTCATTATTCCAAAGTTATTGTTAGTTATTGTTTTATTGTTAAATGTTTTTCAACTATAAATAATTATTAGATAATTAAATTATATATTGTACATAATAACTGAAAATACACAAATATAAATAATTTTAGTATCGATTTTTCTTGTTAGTCAGGACCAACGAGTGGCGCTTAAACATTTGAAATGAACTTGTTTAAATTATTAAATTTAAATAGAAAAACATTATTAAAAAAAAATTGTTGTGATATATGTTTGACCTATCTTTGATTTGGATGAACAGGACATCAACTCAAAAATTTGGACTTTTTACTTTAAAATGCAGTGTTTTTTTTAATAAAAAAACGAGATCTTTCTAATGAACAAGGTCTTATAATGATTGGACGTGAAATGGCGCTGGAGGTAGGGTAGTATCTCTATATATCTAGTTTGCACGTTTTGGCCCCAAATATTGAACAACACAATCGTATTCAGTATTACACACGAAGCTGTAGTAGTCATGATGTCGTTGTTCGTTTAACAGGGTATTAAAATTAAAACACAGCATATGTTCATTATAAGGTAAATGTATTTTAAAATATTTATTTCTAAAACGAAGACGAACATTTCAAGGTAATACCATGTTTGGGATATTATTTTCATTGAATTGTTATGGTAATCTATTAGTATAGAGTAATTTTTGGAGATACTACTGTATTCGTTATAATTATCAATACAAAGATCGAACACTCAGAAAAAAATCCTTCGGTCCGGCAGGATTCGAACCTACTTCTTCTAGCATACCGTGTCAGACGCTATACCAACTAAGCCACGGACTGAACTAGCGGACCTCACGATTTTTTTTACGGGTCGTGTTTTTGTATTTGGTTTCTCAACGACTTTTTAGCCGTAGCACTGTCTATGTAAATAACATCTCTAGCCGGGACTGGTAGCTGTAAATCTAACTGGGTGACGAAATATCCTAGATTTCTGAGTGTTCGATCTTTGTATTAATAATTATTGATCGAATTGAATATTATTCCTCCTTTCATCAAAAAGTATTAAGCATTATTTTATTTTCAAAAGGGTAATATTGTAGACCTCTCTGAATAATTTCAGGGTTTTGTCAAAACTACGGAACCGAATAAGAATATAAAGTATTCGAAAGTACTGTGCAATGTGTAGGCTTTAAACACATATAGGTGAGGAGAATCAAATATCAATAGCAGCTGAAATAATACTAGAATAAAGTTTAAAATTTCTCTGCTTAAAAATTGTGTTTTTTGAGACAATACCCTGTTCATCTGGACCAACGATACATTCCATTTGTCATAAAAATATATGTGAAAAAAGTTACTACTGTCAATTGTTGCAAACGCCAACACTATTTACTACATCGTTGATATTGTATTCTACGTTGTTGACAACTTCTGCTAAATTATGTATGACCTGATTATCTACGTGATAAAAGGCCAATGCATCACCTCTTGTGACTGTGTGGTCTGCATTAACAACTGCCGACACTTCACCAGCTCCTCGCTGATGGCTGCTAATGTTTGTTCCATCTTCGAAGTTGGTGTCTGTGTAGGGTGTTGTATGAAGTCTCTGTGGTAATGAAAACAGGTGTGCTTTAGGTACATCGACCATGGCTGTAATAAAAAAAAGACCAGAGAGTATCATTTGGGGCATTATGTCAAGTTAGTCTGCATGCAATCATACTATCATACGTGCAAGTGTGATGAAATTATTGTATTTTCACGGGCTGTACGTGAATTACGAACTCGCACCGAAAGCCGTCTTCGACTTCGGACTTCTAATAGGGTCTCGGTCGTAATACCTTATTTACAGCCCTAATACACAAGGTACTATTATTTGACATAATAATAATACAACATGCATAGTGTACAGTAAGTATCAAAGAATCAGAACATATATCAACTGCCTCCGTGGCCGAACGGTTACCATGCCGGACTGCCACGCAGAGGTCCCAGGTTCGATTCCCGGGTCGGGAGAAATATTTGTATGGCCTACATTAATTTCTCTCGTGAGTTTGGGTGTAATTTGTGGTTGTCTATCTGTGTGTCCATGGCACCCGCGACACAGGGTTTCCCTAGTGCGGGGCTAAGTTGAGTGTGTGCGTTATTTATTTATTTGTGACAGTTGGTAATTTTTGGTTACAGTTGGTTTCTATCACGAGAACTTGTAAGACATCTGCAGTGCTCGAAACCCGTTTTACCGATGCATTTGCTTTCATTTACACATACATACACACATTTATTACAAGTACTCTAACAGAATTCGATGTAGATTAAATGTCGATAAACAAAAATTAACCATTTAATCAATTCAACTTAAAAAAGGAAAACCTGTCTATAATTATCAACAATACTTCCAATGGCATAGTAAAATGCCATACAATACAATTTTTAACGTTATTTTATGTACATCAGGGCCAGTTAGAAGGTGCAAAAAATTCAAGTTATACTTACGGTTTGACTTCAACGGACGCGTGACGAACTTGCTTGTCCTTTCTCGACCGAACTGTAACAATGGTTTTATTGTTTAACTAGATTAATAGCGACCAAAATACACGCAATGCGTTTCCATTACTTTATTTGCCGTGAGATGACAAAAAAAAAAGCTGCATCATGAATAACCCAAAACGTTTTACAAATTTAATCTTTAGTAATAACTTCGTAGCATTTTGCTGCGTAGCAAGTTGCTTTGATGTAAGAATTTCTAGTTAAATAGCAAAATGGATTGCCTGAAACAAAAACTAACAATGTACTTGGTCATAAGTAACGCATTTGCATATTGGTAATTTTCGAGATATTCAATAAAATAAATGACGCACACACAGCCTCGCACTAGGGAAACCCTGTGTCGGGAACACACATTATAGGCAACCGCAAATTACACTCAGCCTCACAAGAAAAATAAATGTAGGCCACACAAATATTTCTAACATACATGCAATACAATATAACAATAATATAAACTAAATAACTAATCTACACGTATTGGACTTGTCGGCGACTCGAATCGTCGATATATGACACTCTTCGGCCAAAATTCTTCCTTCATGAAGATTAACTCCCGAATTTAAAATAATGTGAAGTTAAAATCAGTGTATAGCTTTGTCTATGTCACGCTACTGTATCAAAGGTTTCCACTACTCACATCGCTGCGGCAGTTCTCCTTCACTAAGCGTGCCGAAGTCGGAAGTGGGTGTGCTGTATGAGTCTGTGTACGTAGTCGTTTGTTTGTCCTCGCCCAGCGAGCAACGACGTTTGGACGTGTACGACGGTACGCACGCTGTAGTGAAATTAAAATAAATGTACCACAGAATGTATATCGTTCAGTACCATGCTGTAACAAAGATTAGGCAAAGTTTTCAGAGCTATGTATTTTCGAAATAGGACGTCATACATTGAGCTGTAGCATAGTATAAAAAGATAAGTAATTAACTGCCTCCGTGGCCTAACCGTTACCATAACTCGTCAACCACGCAGAGTTCCCAGGTTCTCTGTTATTTATACTATGCTAGCATTGATAAAAAAATTAAAAGATATAATTATTAATACTAACAAAGATCGAACATCATCATAATCATCACCATCATATCAGCCGGAAGACGTCAACTGCTGAACA